AAAATCTCACTGGTAAAGGCAAGTATATGATAAATACAGTGACAACTATTTAAAATCTAATATGAAGGATAAAAACAAAATTAACTATAATTACAATAGTCATAGGATACACAAAACAAAAAGATATATAATATGATATCAAAAACATAAAGCATAGATGGCAGAGTAAAACTGTAGTGCTTTAGAATATGTTTGAACTTAAACACCTATCAGCACAAAATAAACTGCTATAGATATAGACAGTAATCATAAATGAAAAACCTATAAAAAATAAACAAAAAATAAAGAGAAAGGAATCCCCCAAAAAACATTAAAGAAAACCAGCAAACCAAGAGAAATAAGATCAAGAGATAAGAAAGGAACAGATAAGAACTACACCCCCCCCCAAAAAAAATGGATTAATAACCTAAATATAAAACCTGAAACAATAAAACCCATAGAAGAAAACATAGGAACTAAACTCAAGGACCTTGGACTTAAAGAGGATTTTATAAATTTGACCTCAATGGCAAGAGAAGTAAAAGCAAAAATAAATGAGTGGGACTACATCAAACTAAAAAGCTTCTGCTCAGCAAAAGAAACCGTCAAGAAGGTAAAGAGACAACCCTCCGAATGGGAAAACATATTTGCAAGCAACGCCTCCTATTAGGGCCTAATATTCAAAATATACAAAGAACTCATACTACTCAATAACAACAACAACAACAACAAAAAAGCAAACAAACAAACAAAAAATGATCCAATTAAAAAAATGGGCAAAGGACCTGAACAGACACTTCTCCCTAGAGGACATACGAATGGCCAACAAATATTTGAAAAGATGCTGGACACCGCTAGCTATTAGGGAAATGCATATAAAAACCAAAATGAGGTACCATCTCACACCTGTTAAAATAGCTATAATTAACAGGACAAGTAATAACAAATGCTGGAGAGGATGCGGAGAAAAACGAACCCTCATACACTGCTGGTGGGACTGCAAATTGGTACAGCCACTATGGAAAACAGTATGGAGGTTCCTCAAAAAACTAAGAATTGATCTACCATATCAT